GGGGGTCGAGAGCGCACGCCGGCCTCTCCTCTGCAAGCCATCTGGGACTCTGACTAATAGACTTCCTACATTCATCTTCCAGTGCTTGTACATCCCCATCAGGGAGCTGTTGACCACAAACAGGCCTGTAATGACATTAGCCAGGGCTGGCTTTGGGTTGGCTGTGCTGTGTGAGGCCGGCGTGTGGGCTGCCTGACGCCAGGAGGTCAGGCCGTTTCCTGGGGCCCTGCAGGAGCCCAGAGAACTTCTAGTTGTAGTCATAGGCTATACTCTGTTGCTCTAAGACGATCAACCAGAATGGAGTGGGCCGTCAGGGTGTGTCAGAGAGTGAGGCTGCTTCAAATACCAATACTGAGTGAACCTCATCATGGTTGCGTAAAACCATTCTAGTTGTACAGGTGTGTGAAAGTGGTAATTTGTTTGGACAGTTCTGTGTACCTGTTACCCATGAAAGAGACCAGGACAACGACAGCTTGTCCCCCCCCCCCCCAAAGACCATGTTTACTAGGAGAGGTAGTTCAAGCGGGACTTAGAAGGTGAGGCATGTGTGTGTTTGTGGGGTTGTAATGGGACGGTCCTGCCGTAAAGGGCATGTTGAGACCTGCCCTGTGACAGGTTGTGGGCTGGATGACACCCTTCTCGCCTCACAAAGCTCTTCAGTGGGCGTTAGTGACAGATAATGTGGGGGGTGATGGAAGGAGTGAGGAAGAGGAGTGAGGAGGAGGGCGTGCTCCTGGACTTTTGTCCTCTTGTTCTTCTAACTCACTTATTCCTCTTTTCTTCACAAGAATGCAAATCTGTAAACCCTCAGATCAGAGGAGAGGGAATCAGTGTAGATGGTGGAGGGATTTAAGGCTGATCCTCCCTGTGTGAGTCACAGACAGTCAGCCTCTCTCTCTCTCTCTGTGTCTGAGGGGTACTGAGGGCTCAACGCTGAGGGCTCATCTCCACACACTGTCTGGCATGCTGTGTGCTGTGTGTGTGTGTGTGTGTGTGTGTGTGTGTGTGTGTGTGTGTGTGTGTTTAGGGTTAAGGGATAGAACTATCGAAAGTGAAAGACGAGGTGAACTTTGTTTAGGTGTCTCAGATGTAGTCTAAATCCAAGACAAATACATGTCCTCTCCATGTGTGTGTGTGTGTGTGTGTGTGTGTGTGTGTGTCAGTGGGTATTTTATTACATTTGGGTGTTTGTTCTCTAAAGGCCAGAGAGGGAGTGAATTAGTCCCTGGCACTGAGTCTGTGGGCTGAGTAATTTCCCCTGGCTGGCGTGCAGCGGGTAGCGTGGCGTGTGCAGCCCCACCCCTCCACAAGTTTAATATTGACCGTCCCGCCCGCTTTTATCTCAGCACGACCCTTGTTTAAATAGCAATAGGATCATGTCCTGTGTGCTCAAAGAATCTTTATCATCCTCACAGAAGTGTGTGTGTGTGTGTGTGTGTGTGTGTGTGTGTGTGTGTGTGTGTAATAAAAAAAAAGGCCGGAGAGGTTGAAGTTTTTTTCTGCTGTGTTGAGAATGTATGTAGCTTGAGATCTGTTTGTCAGACACAAGGGGGCACTGAAGCTGAGATGCATTATTTGAAATCTCTGCACGTTGGAGATCCCATTTAATTCATCCTTCATGTTGCATGTGGAGAATTACTTTATGTTGCTTTATTTACAGTATTTAGAAACTGGGAATTTATTTTATTTATCAAAAACAGGTTCAATGTTCCTTTCCCACTCTCCCTGCCCCACACAATGTTTTTCATGTCTCTTTCAGGACCACACTGTCCGTGATGGACGTCCTTCTCTGTGTCCTCGTTTCCTGGTTCACATGAAGGCCTGTCCTGCAGACCTCAGACCCCCACGTTTCCTATCCAGTATCCCCAGGCCACGGCCTCCTCGCCAGGAACAGACACAACAAAGACAAGCCCTTAGCGCACTACAGACTCATTCATGTGCAGGTGAGCCACAGCAAAAGCCTTCCTGCTGCTTGGACATTACAATATACTGTACAACAACAACATACAAGATACAATAATAAATAGTTTATTAATCCCAGAATTCCCCCTCAGTGATTAATAAAGTATTTATTGTTTATCATATCTTCAGAGACAGATTACCTTGTGGTATCATAGGGCATTGTTGCTTTTGACCCCACACCATAGCTCATTAGGGAACTACAGTAGGTCTCAGTGTTAGAGAGGTGGAGGTAACCACCTGGGCCTTCGTTAGTCCTTAATCCCTCCCTCGGCCCACTTTGTTAAGGCCTAATCCCTCGCTTTCTGCTCTGGGGAGGAAGTGTCTATAGCGCCGCCCTCCTGGTGGTCCTCTGCTAGGGTGTTAGCCAATGAAAGGCTGTGCCAGCATACCTGCCGCTCCTTTCAGGGCCCTGCCTCTGATGTGAAGGCATTTGTCCTCCCCTCTCGCCAGGGCCATAGCCACACTGCAGCGCACGGCTTTGAGCCGAGGGGGAACCAGGGGGATTGGGGCATTTCTGTGCTCTGGAACCGGGTTCTAAAAACCAATTATTCTACCATATGGTGGTCGGCTTCAACACAATCGTCCCTGACCCTGGTCCCTGAGGGAAACGTGCTGTGCGGTATTAGGGGAAGGGGGTGTGTGTAGCTGTGTGCCCCTGACACATGTCATTCATATACAGGCAGACACACACACACACACACACACACACACACACACTTCATGTGTGTGTAACAGATGGGAAGGGCAGGGCATTGTGAGAGGAGAATAGTGCAGAAATGTGCTCTCCTCCAGTGCAGCCCTTTATCCCCCTGCTACCGCTGACTCCTCTCTGTCACACAGACCCCCAGGAAACAAGAGAACATTGTCTCACACCCCTCCGGCCCCGCAGAGAAAAGAGGAGTGTGCAGAGGCAGAGAGGAAGAATAGAGCGAGGGAAGAAGGAAGCGGGGCGGTGTCGGCTGGAGCTGATGTTTGTGGAAGGGATCTGAGAGGGGGATGAAAGGAGGAGTGTGGAGAAGAGCAAGAGTGGCTGAGCAGAGAGGAGAGAGTTCCCAGGTAGTGTGAAGTTCAGATTCAAGTGCAGGAGAAGAGAAATGTGACAGAGTAGAGGTATCACAGATGTCTTCTAGGAGATACAGGCATCTTAATCAGGATATTCTAATGCTGCTCTCAGGACAGGAGGACAAGCTACCAAGATGCGGCATTTGGATCAGTTAACTGATATGTGGGTGGAATAGCGTCAAATGAATGACAAATCATGATGAATCAAGTTTTTTTGCCTTTTATATTGTATAAATAGCCCTGCCTCCAGTACTGGGTAGCATTCTGAATATATAATATTAAGATGGGAATTGGGCAGCTGGTCCAACGGGGTGGGGTTTCTTCAGCCTTTGTTAGAGCACTGACCCACACAGCAGGGAAAACACTGTTTGCTCCGGGCCTCACTAAAGTGGGAAAGGAAATGTCACCGGCAGGTTTTGGCAGAGACGCCTCTGAGCTGTAAAAGATGGTGAATACCATTTATAGATGAGCCTCTCTGAGGACCCCACATGTTAACTATTCACTACCTTTCTTTGTCAGTACTGAACAATGCCCAATGCCAATAGTTAAAAACTTGTATCCCCTGCATACCCCTTGCCTAGGTTGAGACAGTCTCTGACAAGACAGTAACATGTTTATAATCATAAATTAGACTAATCAAAATTTGTATTGAATTGAATACAGGATTGGAAAATACATTCTTTTTTTACTCTATAAAACCTACAGTATATTTTAATGTGATAAAGTATGATCACGTCTGCTTGAATTGAATAATGTTATGAATGTTGTGATCGAGATGTAGTTGTCCCTGATTGCACTGACTTTGCTCAAAGCTGCTTGTTTGAAGAAGTGTACTTACTGTGATCAAGATGTGGTTGTCCCACTGGCTATCCTAAGTTGAATGCACCAATTTGTAAGTCGCTCTGGATAAGAGCGTCTGCTAAATGACTTAAATGTAAATGTAAATGTTATCCCTATCTATTGCAGACTCCAGGATCAGGAGCCTGCAGCACTGCAGCACCACCAGAGGGAGGCGCTTAGCTGTTGTTGTTCCCTGTGTTCCAGTGCCAGTCTCCCCCTCTCCCAGCAGATCCTCCCCTGAGCTCCCAGTCTGCCCAAGTCCAACATCCCCCACTGTCACTGACTCTGGGCAGCAGGGGACTGGACCCAAACCTGCTCCAGCCTCAGCCCTACCTCACGTCCATACTCAGAAAGGGGAGAAGGAAACAGAGGATGGCGTTAAAGAGATGGGTGAAGGCCCTTCGGCTTCCTCAGGGGCCTTCTGCCCTCCAAGGCCAGACCAGGAGCCCAATTCTGGTCCTGAGGACATAGACCCCTCAGGGTCTCCAGTCCCTAGTGTCTGTGAGGGTTCTCTCTCAGACTTCAGCCGCCCGCCATCCAGCCAGTTCAGCCGCAGCACAGACCTGGGTAGTGGCCAGAGCAGTGCTCTATGTGGTACTGTACCTAAACTGAGACAATTGTAGTGAAATGCATTCAAAGCTGTTGCATGCCCCATGGGATAATTTGTTTTTTCCTAAATAAATACATTCATAATTACTGTAACTGTTATAGGTGATCAAAATCCTTACATTTTCTGTGATTTTGTACACACACTTGAATGTTTAATTTTAACCAAGGCTTGCTTTTCTATCATGTCAAATGGAAGTAGAATTATTCCATATATCCTTTTTTTGTTTTACAGCGAATCTGAGTGACCTGGACTCAGAGGGTGGATCTCCTCTCTCCCAGCTCTGCTCCTCTTCCATGTCCCTGTCTGCTCTGGCCTCCTGCACCCCACAGGACCTCCCAACACACCAGCCCCCAAACCCAGCCCCTCACCACCTTCTCCACCATCCACTCCCTCACCAGGCCCAACACTGCCCACCTGACTGGACCACCACGGAGCCCCAGCCAGGCCATGTCCTCCCTCCTTACCCAGACCCAGACCCAGACCCATCCCTGGACCCCAACCCAGACCCTACTACCCTAGCTTTCCCCTCAGACACCTGGCAGTCCTGCCTCAGCCCGCAGTACAGGATAACTCCCCGGCCAGGGTCAGGGTTAGGGTCAGGTTTGACTTCATCTCCTGTGGGGGCGGAGAGACAGGACTGGACGTCACACCGCTGGTCCGTCCTTCCCCCAATCTCTCCTGTCAGAGGTGAGGAATGGTCCCTGCCTGTCCCATATGGGCTGTTCACAGCCTCCTCCCAGCCTCCCTCCCTGCCCAGCAGCAGCCTACACTGGTGCCCCTTACCTAGCGCCACGGGGCTGATTGTCCACAACATGGCTGGACATCTTCCCTGGTACAAAGAGATGGCAGCCAGCAGACAACAGAGGAAATCAAAGCCTGGCTCTATAGAGAGGCCCTCCTCAGATCAGATGCTCCTGTACCCAACGCCGCTCTGCATTGTGTGGGTCTGCTGTCAGCCCTGTTTTGTTTTCCCCTCATAATAAATAACGCAGAAAGCTTTTCTTTTTCCTTTAAACCAGCAATAGAAAGAGAAGTCTTTTGATGAAGAGCTGGTACCATTTGATTCCCAGTTCAAAGGCGTGCGAGGCCCCTTCACAATAGGAGGGGGGTGGGGGGTTCCCTGCCTCGTGTGCCGTCCCCACTCAGCCGCGGCTTCCCCGCGCTCTCTCCATTCTCCCGCCGCTGAAAGGGAGACGTGTAGCCGATGGTCATAAATCCACACTGACCACCGCACGCTGACGGGGGAAACAGTTAGAGCTACGGTCCACAATAGAATATAGCGGCTTTCCGCTGCCGCTAATTTACCGTTTAGAATCGGGATAAAGGACGGGGCCACTGACATCTGACACTTATGGGGGACTTTATGAAAGACTTTGACAAGAGAGAAAACTATTGGGAAATTGTGTAGGGATTTTCTTTCTCTATCAGAAATGATGAGAGGCCGCCTGCGCTCTTCTAAGGTCCTTACTACTGATTAGTATCGCTTCCAGGTGCGTAGGAGTCAAAATAAGAATACTGAAAGAGATTTCGACAAGCACACTGTTGAAAAAAGGAATACATCCAAAACTGAGGCTTGAATGCAACATAAAGATGTGTATTAGAACATCATGGTGCCAATAAATCATAGTCCAAGAAAGTGCATAAATGAAAGGTGAAAACAAAGCCTTCCTCAGCGTAAATAGTCTGCACACACACCTGGCTTCTATTACAAGGATAATTGCATATGTCACATGATCAAGAAAGAAAACATCAGAAAATCTATAAATCGGTACCTAGTACAATAGACTGCATGATCTACATTTTATACACAATATAAAAGCAGACAGAGAAATATGATCAATTTTTGCTTTTATATATACCATGTGAACATTTCTCTATCAGAGACATCTACTGTTCTATATGGTGGCACGCTGTTCTCTATGGGGGAGACGTGGAGCAAGTCACTGGTTACATTGATTTCACGCAGATGTAGACAGACCCAGATGATTTTATTTTTTATTTTTTGGGTGGTAGATCAGCTTAATATTGCAGATAGATTGTAACTTCCATCAAGTTACATCACTTCCAATCCCCCATGTTTTATATATATATATACTCCCCTTTATTACTTTTCAACCCCACCATCCTTTCCCTACTTGGGATAAATTAGTGAACAACAATGCTTAGGCCTCTACTTCCAGCTTATACTTACTATCTACATTTTATGGACACAGTCAATTTTACAATAATTCAATTTTATTTGTTTTTGCTCCTGAACTTCTTCTACTCTCAACCTCTCCGATCATTTTCATGATGTCCATCCGGTTTGCTTCTACAGACCCAGGTTTTGGTGAAAACAATTCATATATAAGATGAAGTTTGTTATTTTTTCCATATAAAAAATATATACGGTATAATGTATGTGAGAACAAAATAGAAATGTTGCTGAATTTGCTGAATTTCATTCCCATAGTTGGGGATGTCAATGCCAAAAATGTGTGTGTAGAGTGTGGGTGTATGGGTGTACGGGAACCCCTCACCCCTCTGCAGCCCCTTAGATGGGGTCCTCTCTTTGTGTGCTCCCCTGAGCTCCCTTTCACATCCCCACGCCAGGGCCCAACAATCAGAGGGCGACCCCAAGGCGACCCCTCATTGAGCATCATCTCCAGAGTGTAACTGTCCTTGACAATGGAGCGGGGTTGGAGCGGGACGCTGGCCTATTGTGGTGCCCTGGCCCCGGCCTCTCCACCACCCAGACCCAGGGCACCACCCAGCCTTTCAGCCCCACGGTGTGGCCAGAGTGGGGGGACGGGGATACAAGGGGAGACAGAGGAGCCTTGTCTGGGCTGACTCCTTCCTACCCTGCCTGGCCTTGCCTCTACGCCCCCCCTATCCACCTCCCCTTCCTCCAACACCACCGCCCCGACTCTGTAGCACTCCTCAGAATGACGGCTGACTTGACAGCCGCAATATGCTTTAAAGTGTCAAGTCAAGTCCCTCCATTGTCTCTCTGAGTAGATCGCCGAGGCACTGGAGTGCACAATGGTCTGTGTGTGTCTGTGTCTGTGTGCGTGTGTGTGTAGTCAGACGTAAAGGAGCTGAGTGTGTGTTCTTTATTTGCTAGTGTATATATTATACGTTTGTCTGCTATCTGTTTCACATTTCCATATGAGAGAAGAAGAGCTCATTCTCTAAGGCTGTCATCATGACAGAAACCCTCAGCACACCATTTTCAGTTACTGTTACAAAAAAGGCTAAGAAAAACAGGTGTGTTTTCACTGTTTTGAGAAGAGTCAAGTAATGAGTGATTAAGGCGGACAGTTTGGCCTGTCCTGTGAGTGATGTATGTGGTAATGAGGGCTTAGAGGGAGAGCGTTGCTCCTGTGTGTATAGTACCATCTCCCATAGCCCGAGGGTCTGACTGGCTCTGTGTAGGCTAACACAGACTCCACCTGGGGGGCATCCTCTCCCATGGAGGTCCTGGTTTGGTGGTGGTGGTGGTGGAGGGTTGTTGACACCGGCTCAGGGCAAGGAGGAGTGGGAGTTTTGTTGGGTGTCTGGGTGAAGTGTGTGTTTGTTGTGTGTGCATGGGTATGATACAGAGCCGTCTCTGTTAAGCCTAGAGGGGACAGGCAGTCAGGCACTAATTGAGTTACAACCATGTGTTGGAACCGGTTCAAGGAGCAGCGAAAACCGATTCATTGTTTTGAGGAACAGAAACAGAACCGGGAAAGAAAGTGATCTCTAGTGTTGCGGAACAGAACCGTTACTTTTAAATCTTGAGAACCAGTTAATAATGTTATTTTGCGTTCAATTATTGCCCCTAATGCCCAGTATATACTGTAATTATGTAATTCAGTGAAGCTATGATGCTAGTAATAGCCTTAACATATTCCAATTCACATCATGTCATGATGCTCAGCACTTCAAACCAAGCCCCTTCCACGTCCACCCCTCTCTCTCGCTCTCTCCCCACCCGTGACATTTCAGTCACATCTTGGCCTGCACTTATCTGTCCTCAAACATGTAAACAACTAGCTTACACATTCCACAGCAAGCTGCTCTATCCTTGCTTATTGGTGGAGTAAATAATTGGGCTAAATGTAAAAACGATGTTCATTTCACAGGGTAAAAAATTAACGAAAAGGAACTATATGAACCGTTACTTTTTTGGGGGGTTCGAACCGGTTCAGAACTTTATTATGCTGGTCGGAAATCTGTAACGGAACTAAATAAATAGGGGTTCTGCTCGGAACGGATTCTCATTTTCTAACCCAGTCCTCAATATCTATTGCATCATGTAACACAGTACAGTAGTAAAGCTCTATGTGATACACCCAACCTGCTTGTGCTGTTTCAGATGGCAGTGACACAGTGTCATCCCGGTCCCGCTGTTCTCAGATCAGCTCTAGCCAGTCCCATGTGTTTGATGAACTGGAAGCCATCGCCCCCAGGACAGGCTCCTGTCTGTCCCTAGACCACCCACTCAGCCCAGCAGACTGCAGCCCTACTGGTATAGGTACAGTACAGAGCATCCACATTATCTCCAGCAGATCATATAAAATACCACTGATGTCATACCTGTCAAGGGTCTACACAATGATTACATCAAAAATGTGCTCTATATTTAGGGTGAAAATATTGTACATGTGCCACTCGAACTGTAGAAAAATAATACAATTTGTGTATGGCCATTGGCTTTTTACGTTGTGTCAAAGTTGGTGAATTAACCGTTTATTTTTTAGAGCAGGTGAATGCTTAACCAGCTACTTTTGGAATGTACTCGATGTTTAGATTTGTTTCTACCTGGGCAGTCCATGGTGTTAAAATGAATTAGCATTGTTTAGACATTGTAACAATTACGTCAATGAAAAGGTCACGGCACCTGATTGTCTTTTTCCTGTTTGTGTTGTTGTTGTTGTTGTGGCCATGTTTGTCTGACCACCATTAATGCCTCAGCCTCTCTCACGTAATGGAGTGGGATGGGACGGTGATGTGTGTATCCCAGCGCTCTGTTGTGGAACAGTGTGTCACGTCTTTGTGTGTACAGTAAATGCATGTGTGTGTGTGTGTCCTGAGGTTGGTCAGTTCAGTGAGCTGTGAAGTGGAACATTACCCATCGCAGACAGTGATTTTGTCACTCACTAAGGACTTCCCCAAGCTTCCATCATCCCCTCTAATCCCTGGCAAGGTGTTTAAGATGTTTAACCTGCTCGCTTGACCTGAACCGCCGTCTGACCCCATGACCTTTGACCTTAGGATGTGGTGGGATCATGTCCGCTACCACCACTGCTGCAGCAACTTAAGTCCACTCTTCTGTTCTGTGGTGTAATATCTTCCTCAATTAACTAATATAGACGTCAACTATCAGTATAGAGCCTGGAAAGCAAAAAACGTAAATCAGTGAAACTGACTTAAACTGACTGACTGCTTAAACTTTGCTACTGACTCACAGGCATTCAAGTGTGTCTGTCCACTCTCCAGTGACCCTGTCTGGGTGGCAGTATAGCTAGTTAACACTTTAAATCACAGGGTTAGACTGTTGTTATATTTAGCAGTGTGTCTCTGCAATGGGTTGCATTATCATGGCTAATGAGGGGGTTAACTCCCAGCGTAACTGAAAGTGTGTCCCATCACAATGTGTTTCACCCATGCTGATCCACAGGACTTCCTCCACCACAACTCTTTAATCAATCAGACAGCCAGCCAGCCAGTTCCTTCTTTCTCACCTGAAGGGATTTACCTGACAAACAGACACACACCCAGAGACACACGCAACACATTGTAGAGGCAGGAGCATTCCCTAGGCAGAATACATTTCAAGTCGCTCAAAGTCTCTAAAAGTTAGTCTCTCAAAGGGCATACCGTAAAAAACGCTGTACTGTACTCAACAATTAGAAAACTATCCAGATGTGATACTTTTTTATGCGCTATAAAACACAATACATTCCATTATGGCTGCTGTGTGGCTGGCTGAGATGGTGGGACTGAGTGCATTGAGAGGAGAAGCAGGGTTGACCTGCAGCGAAGCGTGATATGAAGCGGCTCCAGCCCAGCGGCTGTGAGAAATCCCCTCCCAGGGAACAGCAGCACCACACCCTGCCTGGACGGCGTGGGCCGAGGATTTGCATGGGCAGGGAGCCCACACTGTTACTGATCCCCTTTTAATTGGCCATGACAGAGAACTTTGGAGCCTAGGACTGGGGGGTGGAGCTGGACGGTTGTCAGTCAAATTTAAGCACACCTCACAGATCTATACAGGACTATTTCCTCTACCTCTAATCTGGTTCAGAGAGGCTATCCCTGGCCCTGGCCTACACTATCCCTGGTTATCCATGTGGTCCCTGTAATAACCCCCTGCACACAGGGAATCAGAGAAGGTGGTCACTCTGGTCCTGACTAATGTATTTGTCAAGTTGTGTATGGTTCACACTGCAGCTCTTTGCCCAAACTTGAAAAAGGCCTCTTTAAGGACTGAAGGACAACTCAATTTTCTTCAGACTTCTTTTATTTAATTCCAGTTCGTCAGTTAGTCAGTTAGTTAGTTAGGTTGATAACCTTTAAAGGAAAAACACAAAAATAAATATACATTACTTCAAGTAAGGTCATTTCAAATTAAATATATAATCTCAATGTAGTCACTATATACTAAATTAGACAATTGGTCTCAATTCTCAACACAAAATAAACACCTAACTGGCAACAATTTTACACAACAATGTCCATGTGCCTACCGGTTGAGTCTCCAGAATCCTAAATGAGCTGAATGTGTATGAATGAGAGTCTCCTCTTCCATGAAGGAATTCCAGTAAAATGCTTTTTCACCAAACATTTCACCACCTGCTATCACAAAGGTGCACCAGTATATATGTTCCCCAGGGAAACACAAGCTAATGATGGGTTCCACAATGCATACACTTTTTCGCCCCCTGCTGGTGTTTTACCTTTGAAATAAGTTGAAAATGTGAATGCCTTGAATATGAATACCTGTCTTTTGACACAACACCTCCCACTTGATCTCCTGGTTCTTGAACCCAAGGAGGTCACATCGGCTTCATCTTCGATGGCTTTACTTCTGCTCTTCTACAGGTAATAACACAACCAAACGCCTGACGTCCCTGTGAAGAATTGTAACAGGGATTTTGGTTGAACGTTTCTTTGTTTTGTCTCCATGAACATGCTTCAAAGTTGAGATGGGATAACTTGGGAAGGTTCGTATATTTGCATCTCTCACAATGCCTTTCTTGTCAGCGTTGACATTGACGAGCCTACCAAGCTTATACTGACTCCTCAAAGCGTTCTGGTCTGCAAGCCAGACGACGTCTCCAACGGCCACGTTTCGCTGCTTTGTGTGCCACTTACTCCTCACAAACAGGTTAGGTCCAGCCAACTGACTCCACTTCCTCCAGAACCAGTTAACTTCCGCTTGAATGACTCTTAACCGTTTGTAGGAGTAGTCTTCAAACTCAAAGCTTCCTAAGTCTCCCCTAGGTCCAGTCCTTCCAAGCAGAAGAGAATTAGGGCTGATGTATTCTATGCAGTCCTCCCGGCTCTGAGTCCTGGCATATATGGGCCTTTCATTGGCAAGGTTAGCAGCCATGAACATAAATGTTTGAAACTCACTCCATGTGAAGAGTCCTTCTCCTCTCATATTGTGCAAGGCCCGTTTCACAGTGCGAACAGCTGCTTCTGCAGCACCATTCCTGTGAAGGGAGTCTGCTGGGCGGATCTTCCAGCTCCACTCTGTTCCATGCTTTGAAGCTTCATTTTCATGCTCAGATGTAATTTGTTGATCCAGGAAGTTGTAGAGCTCTTTGAGGGCAGGTCTGGCACCCACAAAGTTCTTTCCAGGATCTGACCACAGTTTCTTTGGATGCCCTCTCAGTGCCGTGAATCTTTGGTAGGCCAGTAAGAAGCCTTCAGTTGACTGGTCACTGACAACATCTGCGTGCATAGCTCTGGATGCCATACAGCAGAAGACAATTCCCCACATCTTGAGCTTGACTTTCTTTCTCACCTCGTCCTTGACTTCATATGGTCCAAATAAGTCCACTGTTGTGTACTCAAATGGTCTGGCTGGTGTTATACGCTCGGGTGGAAGGTCACTCATGATCTGTTGGCACTTTCTGGCCCTAGCCTTTCTGCACACCACACAGTTGTCAACTCTCTTTTTAGCCAGCTTCCGGCCTTTTATAACCCAGGCTTTCTTCCTCATCCGGAGGAGTGTACCTGCTATTTCTTCATGGTTTGCATCATGGGCCTCTTGAGCTAGGAGAGTGGATATCCATGCCTCATATGGTAGAATTGGTACAGCAGTCTCGTCCTCATCAAAGATATTGAACCTCCCTCCACAAACCAAGAGCCCAGTCTCTTCATCTCTGTAAACAGCGAGTCTGTTGAGAGTGGTGTCTTGAAAGGTTATACCTTCTTGAGCTGCAAGGAACAGGTATCTTAGTGCATCTTCACACTCCCCAACAGTGAGTACAGCTTGTTTGCCTCTGGACCTCCAGTTTGTTGAAAAAATTCCCTCCCACTTTGGTTTATCTGAGGCTGAATTCTTGGACAACACTTCTTTCCATTTCGTTGCAGCTCTCCAAACACAGGCAGTGACTCGGATCAGCCTGGTCAGGCTGCTAAATTTCCTGATTTCAATCAGTTTTGTTACCGCAGAGCCAGCTGGTGGTCTTCGGATCTTAGTCTTAGGTTCATCTGGGTTATTTTGCCTGCTTTGCTGTGCATCACTCTGACTTTCCTTCTGAACTCCCACTTCAGGAAGTACATCATTCTTGTTTCTCTTGGCCTGCGCTCTGGTCAGTGCTGCAGATAAATATTTCCTTTGAAGTTTGTTAATGCCTTCCTTGGCATAAGTTGCAATTTCTTTGGCTGACTTCTGTGGCCACTCTTCCACAGGTTGTCGCAGGAACGCTGGTCCATTCTGCCACATGGAATCTTCTTGGAGGTCTTCCGGGGCTGCCCCTCTTGTTATGATGTCAGCACTGTTCAGGTCTCCCGGGATCCACCACCAGTCTTCAACGGATGTGGATTTCTGGATCTCTCCAACTCTGTTCGCGAAGAAAGATTGATACCCATAACTGTCTCTCTGGATAGCTCCCACCACAGTTTGACTGTCCAGCAGATGGAGCCATCGTTCAATTTCTATACGACTGTGTTTTTCAACGTACTTTCGAAGTCCTGCTGCGCAGACAGCACCGCAGATTTCAGCTTTCACTGCTTCCCCCTTTTGGTCCAAAGGTGTGAGTTTTGCTTTGGACTCAACCAACCTGACTTGGATGCCTTGCTCAGTTTCCCATCTGAAGTACACTACGCCTCCATAGCTCTTCTCACTTCCATCAGAGAATGTTATTCCCCAAGGTTTACCAATCCAGTTGACTGGTGTGAGGCTTCTGTGGAAGGTGATTTAGCCAAGACGTGTGTACTCCTCAAACAGTTTGATGGCTTCTTCTCTCAATTGTTCAGACAGAGGTTTGTCCCACGTGTTTCGGGTCAGAGTT